GAATGATAATTGTTAATTTATAGATTAATTTACGATGGCTGAAGAATTACAAGCCAAGCTGGATGGTTTAGATGTTGAGACTCTTCAAAAGCTATTACAAACAGCTATCACAAACAAAGGTTCACCTGGCACCACTTCAGTTGTGGTCGACCAAACAGCAAATAGTGGTACTACAGAAAATAATGATGACGTTGAAAATGACAAGATTGGTGATGGTGGTGGTGCAGAAATGCAAATTAATGTTGGAGTTGATGCCAGTGGACAGAATCAGATCATGAAAGACGACAGTTTAGGTACTTTAGATAATTTGTCTCACAGAATATTTTACCGGAGGAACTGCATCAAAGATATTGAAGTGTTAAAGTATCAATTTACACAGGGTTGTTGATAAGCACATTAACCCTTAAAGTTGCAATGTGCCCTGATGCACCCTACTTTAGGTCGATTTCACGTTGCGGACATTACATTCACAGAAAAACAATCAATACTTAACATGCTCTGTTTCCTGTTTGCAACAGTTTCTGATCTGGGAACTTTGTCAAAGAAAACCTTAAGGGGACCTCTTAAGATTTCATAAAATAAAAAAAAAATCCCCTGTAATCACTTCTTGTAATAAAAACTCAAAGTACTGTTGCGGACATTACAGCAATATCAACCACACATAGAAGTGATGTTTTTAAAATGTTATTTCCTGTGAACTTTGAAATGTATCAAAGGAACTAAAACACTGTCTGCTCACAGTGATAATTGGGGATAAAAAATATGAAAACGAGATGTTCTACAGTGCCCTTGGGCAGCTTCTTTAGTGCAAAGTTTGTGTTGCGGACATTACACTGAAACTGTTGCGGACATTACATTTTTGGGATTGTATAGCAATCTGTATTAAAAATAATAAAAAATCCAAAATGGGTGCCTGATTATGCACTTCAAAGTTTCTAGTCCACATAACAGGCATTCCAGCTTAATTCTATTTACATTTGTATACCAACATAAATCCTGGAATGGAATCACAATAATACCTTTCAAAAGTGCAATATTTGTTGTCACTGCATTGACTCAGGCTCAGAAGAAAATCAATTCTGGTCAGTGGTGTAATCAATGCAAGCATGCTCTGTTGAAATACTGCGTATGCTTTTTTGTGTGAAGCCACTGGCCAGCTAAATTCCTTGTTCTTTCTTGCTGCAAGTATAATAACTTAAATTGCTAGTCATCATGGGGAAAACAAGTATAGAAAGATCACGAAAATGCAGACAAAAGTTAAGAGAAGATGTTGAGAGGTATAATGTATTCAAAAGTAAGGATCGAGAAAGAAAAAGAAATTTTTGAATATTTTTGAATATTTGAATATTTTTGAATATTTTTTGAATATTTTTTTTTATTTGCCCATATAAAGCTAAATATATTTACAATCTATATTTTTACAAACATTAGGGGCTAGGAACCTTTATGAAACCC